TATATTTAACAATTTTAACTATAGTTTTATTTTTATATATTTTTATACATATTTTATTAAGTTCACTGAAGAAGACCTCAATTTAAAAGAGGTCGAAACGTTTGATTATCTTATATATTTGTTTTAAATATTTTTAAATTGTTTTAATAAAATACGAAATTAAAGTATCTTCCCTTTTAATCAAATCTTATCTATTTCGTATCAGCCAAGTGTTGCTCAATATATTAAACTTAAGGTTTCTCCGAGCTCTCCACAACATTTTTTCATCGAGTTCCATTACATTTACGAAAAGCCCCCCAAGACTTTTCTGCTGCTTTTTTGCAGATTTTTCTAGTTTTCTATCCGTTCGGTATTTTGCCAATAAGTCTATTAAGCTTAAGGTTTCAAACAATGTACTATAGCTTATTTTGTAGCTCTTTCCATTCTGCACTTTTCTAAATACAACCTATTTCTAATTTGTGTTTATGAAAGAAACTGTGATTATTTTTATATATCACTATGAGTGAACATCGAGATATGTATCCAGTATTTAGCCAATAAATCTATGAGGGTAAACTTTAAAACAAAATATTATAGCTCATTTTGAAGCCTAGAAAATTCTATTTTTCGATATATAAAGTAGATGAGTTCCAGAAATATTCCTTTAAATTAAAGCACTAAGATGGGTGAAAATCATTATACCGACCACGTATTTCGACTATTGAGCCATCTGGACATATTTGTGAAATTATTTATAGCTCATTTTGAAGCCTGAAGAATTCTCTATCTTTCTATGTATGAGCTTTGATCAAAGTCTTCCAAATTGTACGAAAAGTTTGAGAAACAAACTGAATGTCCTTCCTTGAACTGGTGACGAAAACTGCTAAGAAATAATATTTTCAAGAAGATCAGGAACAAGTTTTGAAAGTCAAAAGTATCTGGAAGTAGAGCGGGAGGCATTTGCGATCATTTTCACTCAAAATCATATTGGGCTATTTTCTGGCCGAAACCGATACTCGTCGTTTTCGACATCACTTAATGCTAGCTCTGTTGCATCGATACTCTTTTAAATTTGAATTATCAAACACCACAAAATCAAGTTGATACTGCACTCGAGAATATGATTTAGATTGAAGTACAAAACTCCAATAGTAAATTCTTAGCAAGATACATTTGAATAAGAATACTATTTTTCCTTGATGATTGAGAGATGATATATTTAGGCATGCAACAGTTTTTTTTCTCGTATTTTTCAAAAAATGGTTTGTATTTTCACAACAAGGAACTGTGAAATTTTCTGAAATCAGCAATTTTGTAGAGCAAACATTTCTCTACAAGATGACATATGGTAGATATTTTTAAAGTCGGAGTTTTAACTGTTGGGTCATTCTATCAAAAACGTCTTTTAAAGAAACCAAGCAACTTTAAAAATTCTTGCAATTGTTGTTAAAATGAACAGTTTCACACAATGTGATCTGAACACATTTAAAGTGAATGTCTGTTATCTTTTAGTGACCGTCTGGAATTACTGAGTTAAATGTGTTACAAATATGCTTTTTTGCTCACCGAGAAATTGTATATACTTTTCTTCTTGAGTGTGATCACATTCATAAATTACACAAGTGTTGATGGTGTATTTTTTTTTAAATGTTCTATCCACTAATCATGACATTGATCAGTAATGATCAAGATATATCGACATTACTTTAAAATTTTAGAATGATGTCTGAGATTCTACTATATGTAATGCACAATCACTACCATCTGAACTTGAACTTGAACTTGAAGTTTATTCACCAAAAATGGAAGGACATGATAAAATAGCTAAATAGCTAGTGAATAGAAGTATAATGTAGCCCCATTGAATCTTGCCCTGTCTAACGCAATTTGTTAATTTGTCCTAATCGTCTGAAATAAATTTTACGGTATTTTACTGTAAATACTATCGATTTCTTTATATATGAGATTACTAAGATGATTTTCTAAAACAGCAACAGCAATAAAGAATCACTTTGAGACATCTTCTGTCTTGTTCGCATTGCTTACTGTATTTATACACATAATCATAATTGCGTATAACAAATAATATAGTCTGTACAATATCTTCATTTTAGTTTTTTGTATAACTTATAAATGCAGTAGATATCAGTACAGTGCGTAATGTTTCTTAAGACTTAATTTTTACTATTAATTTATTGATTTAATTAACATTTTTACAGCATCAATTATTTTATTCTAGTAACCATTACAAATGAGCCATCCCTTGATATGTTTTTTATTGACAAAATCTGGCCGATTTCTTGCCTAACCAATTATTTCTGTATGTGATTAGATTTAATCTACTAATTTACGGAAAACGGTTACTCTATTGATGACGATGACGTATGATGAATGCGTGTTAATAATTACAGTTCTCTATTGGTCCGCTCAGTTATTCTAACCTGTAAACACAACCATCTAGGTATTCAATCTATGTATAGAGCATAACACACAATTCAATTGAGAACCTTCTTCTTCAACGACGTACCATTACGATGACGTTGGCCATTCTTCATATCCAGGTATAATACAATTTTAACTCAATTTGATATAATACTTTTCTTCTTGCTATCGATTTAATTATATTCACATAAAGTCCAGAGTCCAAACTCTTCATACCCGAAGACATACAATTTTAAATTTGTTTAAAATTAAATAAATGTTTATTAAAGATATTTTTGTACTAACAATGATATGTCATTCAACTTAAATATGATAATGATTCATTTTTAGTGATGAATCATTGGTAAACACGTTCTACAGGATATAGTAATAGGGAAATCTCTTATCATGTGCTTGTCAAAATAATTCTGTATCACAGCGAACATTTTCTATTGAAAAATTTCAGAATAGAATATTCTACTGATGCTTCATAATGATCATGTATTTTTGTGTTCAACATTTTCATTTAGCTTTTATTAGTTTTACAACGTTGTATAGAGTTTTGTACGCTTATTATTTGACAGATCGGTATTATAACTTTACATAATCAAGATTTTTGTCTAAAAAATATTCAGGAACAAGGATAGTTAGTATTTAAAGATAATGTAGACAGATAACAGTCTAGATAAAACATCTATGTACTATGAAAAACTATGAACACCTTCGTTTTTTCACAATGAAATTTCTCAAAATACAATAAAATGTCAAAATTTCTTTTGAATTTGGAAAACATATGAGATAAAATATTTTATTTTCCTTGTTATTTTTCTCTAGTATACTCTATGAATAAATATTTATCTAAATTTTTGTTATTTGGATAAATATAAGCGGAATATTATACTTTTACCTGTATCATCGCTTCGCTTCATTTCACTACATATTTTTACCTCAAATGTCCATTTGAGAACACGACCTTCGAAACAAATTAGATGTAAATAAAATTATATAATTTATAACGATAATAGTATTACATACATTTACAGCTTTAATCTTTTAGACCGTGTGAAACGCTAATTTTATTTTTGTTTAATTTTTATATTTAAAAACATCTGATTTAGTATGATATACAATAATCAAGGATATTTATATAGAAAACAGAGAATCTTGTTCTAAGAAAAGAGGTTAAATATTTTTTTTATAGTGTGATAGTTAACAAAAATCAAATAATCAATGATACTAAACATAATATTGTTCAATACTTGAGTTCATCCAGAAATTTAATTTTTACTATCATCTTTCTGTATTAAGCTACTGTGAGTATACAAGAAGAATAAATTACTCACTTTTATAATTTAAATAATAGAATTTTGAAAATTCTTGTCATTTCTCTGTGTATTTTAGTCAAATTAATTCTACTACAGATAAAAGATGAGTGATAGTGGTAGTGATTTATCGACGGATGTACAATTTAAACCTGTAGTAACATCAAGGCGTAGCCTATTCTCAAAATTAGTTTATAAATTAACACCGACACCATCATTTGATCAGGATGATGCTTCAACATCGAATTCAATGGCTGTTGAAAAACAGACAGAAGCAGCGAGACAGACTGGTACAATTTGGGATATCATTCGAAAAGCAGATCGACCAGCGTTAGAATACATGTTAAACAATGATCCGAATAAAGTTGATGAACGTGGATTTGTAGGAGAATGTCCAATTCATATGATGTTCATTTATGGCACTGATTCTCACATAGAAATGGCCAAATTTGTTACTGCAAAATTTCCAAAAGTTATTACACAAATTTACAATCAATCAGTAAGATAAAGAGATTATAGGGTATATACTTTGTAGTAAAAGTGCTTTTTAAAGCAAAACTTTTTTCATTTGATAGCCTGAACTAATAGCTAGAAACTTTGTCTCGAATTTTATTTACGAAATTTTCTACATTCGCAGAAATTTTATTGTTTTTCGAATGCGGTTTCAAAACAAAGGCTTTTTTGCGTAACATTCTCTATTTGCACTAATAACATCAAAACAATTAAATGTAAGAAGTTTAAAGTTTGAGATCAGATCTGAACGGCTGACGTGCACAGAATGACGTAAAAGTCAACCCTCTAGTTTCTGTATTTTCCTAAAACAAATGAAAAAAATTGTGGCCAAAATATGAGCTCGTAATGCTTGTCGAAGTCCTATGACTATTTATTTTAGGAATATTACGGAGAAAATGTATTACATATAGCCATCATAAAAAAGAATGCAGCAATGGTAGAATGGCTGTTAGTAGACCCAAATAATAGACCGTATAGAGAAAAGTTACTAAATGCAAAAGCATCCGGAAATTTCTTCAAAAAGTAAGAAATCTTTTAATCTATTCATACCATAATATAGAGTCCTATTTTGTGTATTATTTTAAGTGGACGCCCTTGCTACTATGGAGAATATCCACTAGCCTTTGCCGCTTGCACAAATCAATGGAATTTAGTGGAAATTCTAATCGAACATGGAGCTGATATGGACATGGTAACTTCTCTCTTTTCTCACATTTAGCATACGGTTATAATAACTTTTTAATTTTGTGTAAATATAAATACACAAGTAATCAATTTTTCATTAAATTTTAGGCGGATAGTAATGGTAACAATATTTTACATTTATTGGTTATTCATAATTTATCCGATCTTTATGTTAAATATAAGGCACGTTGGATTGAAGAAAATAATCGAAAAAAAGGCATATTAGAAGACAGCATTAGTCCACCAACTTTAGTGAATAATTTTCCTAATGAAACTCCATTATGGAAACGTTTAAATAAAGAAAATTTAACACCATTGACTTTAGCTGCAAAATTAGGACAAAAAGATATGTTTTCATTTTTGTTAGATGAACGAAAAATTACACAATGGACTTTCGGACCTGTAAGTTGTGTTCTTTATCCATTGGATCAACTCGATTTAGGATTACCAGTAGAGGTATAGATTTTGTTAGTTCTTCTACAAATATTTATTATTTTAACTGTCGAATGTTCTAGGGTAAAGAGATTGAAGTAGGTGGATTAGAGTTAATTGTTAAACATGCACACGTTGATTTAATAATGCATCCACGTATGATCGATTTAATTGATAAAAAATGGAATCGATTTGCGGGAAAGATATTTTTTAAACGTTTTATGATGACATTGGGTTTCTTGCTTGTATTTATGTTTACCATTATATTAGAGCAAACACGGGTAGAAACGGTATGTTAAGATTCGTCTTATTGTCTTTTAATTTATAAATGCTTGTTTGACATTGATTTTTTCAGACTGAAGGGGAAGGCGATGATGCAGTAGTAACCAGTGTCGAATATCCATCGGGCATCATATATGCATTACATCGAATTGGTAATGGGATTGTTTTGGCTGGAGCATTGTGGAAAGGCAGATGCGAATTAAATGAAATGATTGCAGCTGGTATAAGAAAATATCTCAGTGCTACAGTAAGTCAGTTTGACTCAGAATCATCAATATATCTATCTAAAATATAATATATTTTAATTATTCTTCAGGGTTCTGGTTTCATTGAAAATATATTAGCGTGCGCATTTTCTTTTTGTATTGTAACAGTGAATATTTTACGCTTTTTTGATATAAAAGCACAAATTGCCTTCTTAGCTATGGCATCGATTGCTGGCTGGGGTTACATGTTATTTTTCGTCATGGCATTTCGATTAACCGGACCATTTATTGTGATGATCTATGAAATGTTATTCAATGACGTTTTAAGATTTTGTATTATATATATGGTATTTTTAGCCGGATTCTCTCAGGCATTTTTTGTTCTCTTTAATTATAATGGTAATATGATGAAGGTTTATTTGTTTAACTCTTATTGTTTATGTTACTCTTTGCATAATTTTTAGGTTTCAGTGGATTTTTGGAAAGTGTTAAACAATGTTTTCTTGGCATGCTGGGTGATTTTGATATTGATGCGTATGCCCAGACAACATTTCAATATGTAAGTGTGTGTTTATTGATCGTTTATGTGGTCGTTGTCACCATTCTATTGTTGAATTTATTAATCGCTATGATGGGTGATACTTATGGGAATATAATCGAGGGAGCAACACAAATATGGTATGATTAAGAGTTTATATTTCTAAGATACAAAATTCTTCTTCTTTTCTCATTCTAGGCATTTGGAACGTGCTCGTATTGTGTATGCAATTGAAAATGAAATGAGTACAGAAGACCGAAATTTGGAAACAAATAAATATTGGACTAATGTGGATGGTGAACGATATTTACAAGTAGAAGAAGTGGATGACGAACATTTTAAACCCGATTCAAAAAAGAAGAAAAATGATGAGGACGCAGATGATGATAAATGACAAAATAATTTTTCAAAACTTGTTTAAAGACAGTCGTTTGACTTTTATTCAAAATAAATAGTCTTAATTGTTTATGAGTCTAAGTATGAGTTGTTCTATGCAGCATAATCTTCGTTACGAGTAGAACTTATTTGTTTTATATTGTCCCATGAAACTATCAGATACATACATACTTTCACGACAGACAGAAACGTCTGTCACCTCTTTCGTTTTTGCGTTCATCGCTGTATATAAAGAACGATAAAGAATTATTACTCTTTTTTTCTTCATTTCTCTTTCAACCATTAGAATAGCTCAATAACTTACTATGTGGCCTTAGTTATGCGCACCATACACTCTTTCAAGTTTCTAGCGACGGTATTCTTTATCTCTTATGCCTGCGACCTTCTAGAACGATTTTCCAGTACAAAGGTGGCTCATTATTTTAGAGCCACCATTATCATTATACGGTGGCGTTCCTGAGACGACTAATACTTTTTCTATTGTAATACTCACTGATAAAGCGCTTTATCGACATATACAATGATTAAAGATCTATGGCGATAGTTGTAGAACGAATTTCATATTGTATTGGTTTAATTGCATTGCGATAGGAGTCGATAGTACCAGTAAACCATTTGCTTTTTTCTTTTTATATTCGTGCATTAGATAGGGTTCTATCTTAAGTGATACACAAGACTTGCTGTTCAAAAAGTGCTGTCAAGAAATCAGTACAGGCCGGGCCATATAATTTTATAGAGTGACCGGGTCGGACCGAGCCGAGCACAAAACTTTTAAGCATACGTGAATTTGTAATTTATTTGTATACTCAGTACTGAGAAAGAGTATTAACACTGCTCCGCGGCATCTTAATGACTTCGTTTAGCTAATGTCTTGAAAGGTTGAAAAATGAAAACTAAGAAATCATAAAGATATAAATATTAGCTTAAGAAATACATTTACACCACTTCGCCAGCAAAAGCATTACAGATGCAAAAAAAAATCACGCATGGGACCAGAAAATTTTAAAAAATGATCGGGCCGGACCAGAAAAGCTTCAGGATTGGTTGGGCCTGACCAGATAAATTTCACGTTTGGTCTGGCCGAGGCGGGCTCGGTCCAGAAGCTCTCATTACCAAAAATGTTCGGCCCATGCCAATCTCCGGTGCTATCTCTCAATATTGGTCTAAACTAGCTATTTCAAAAAATGAAAAAATGAAAAATTTAAGTCGAGTTCTACCGGGATGATCTCGTGTATGAAGAATTGCTGATTGAAAAACAGATGCCCTTAGTGATGGCTCATTACTCTGTCGTGATTTATCGATGAGTCATGGCAAATGCCCTCGTTATTTGTATAGTAGATGATTCATGTAGAAAAGTGTGAATAATTAACTAGAACGCAAGACAGCTAGCGTGACTACCTCTTAAGTCGCAACTACTTTAAACTTAACATGTGTCTGGCACAGTCTGTCCGTGACGTAGACACTACAGACACCGTAGACGCCGTATATGTAAACTTTTTACATTTTTTTCTTACAAACAGCCATAACCATTAGGAAGAAGAAGCAAGAATATTTCGCCTTGCGACTGATCTTAGATTAGATCGAAAGCCTGCATTTCTATAAGAAAAAATTTTATTTGTTAAATAATATTGAATAACGATCATTACTTGCTATTTGGTAATCTATTATCAACAGCTATTCCGGTCGGATTATTATGTGGCATATAGTTGACAGATATACTAGAATAAAATATTTACCACTTAAGGTCGCAGTCCAGTCAAAAGCATTGCCTTCTTTGATTTTCTGTTTATACCCTGATGGTTCAAAAAACTGTACTTTACATTTATTTAATCCATCTTTGAAGCTAAGAAATGCTTGGTTGAATAAAACTGATAAGTTAGAAAAAGCAGTTTCAAAAATGTCAGATTTTTGAGCATATCGAGTTGTATATCGGCTTGTCCACGTAACGCGAAACTTCGCTGATCAAGTTTTTCTTTTTTTCATGGGAAAGTCGATAGGAGCCTATTACCAGACGTAGTTTTTCATGCTGATCACGAATTCGGCTATTATTTTGAAAAAAACTGAATTTTCAATTAAAAAATTTAAATTTAAAATGTTTGAAAACTTTAATTTTAATTTTCTGACCTACAGCTTTTCATAAAATAATTTTAAAAATATACTGTCGAATAGAGAATTCAGTTCTCTACAAAATGGCTCGTTTTGTTTTGAGAAATATTTCTCTACCGAGGCACAAGGGCTTCTTGCAAGTTTGAACTCCAGACTCGAGTTAAAAGTAAAAATAGTTAGAAGAAAATCTTTTTTACCGCTGAAAACCCATGTAAATCGTATGCGTCTGAAGGAACGCGTTTCATTTCGAAAAGACGCGTTCAGGCGCGTTTTTTTCGATAAACAGTCTTCAGACGCGTCCAGGCGTGTTTGCATGCGACGCGTTTAAACGAGTCTGAAAATGTTTCGTGTGAAAGTCCGGTCTTTGTGAAACGAAACGCGTTTAAACGCAGCCATCTTTGGCGCGTCTTGAGACGTTAAGGTGCACTTTTTTTAAACGCGTCTTGACCGGTTTATTTACCTTTTCTCCCGCGAAACACGTTTAAACGCACAGCTTCACCAAGCTATTACTGTCGCGTCTAGACGCGTCTCTTTTCTTAGTCTCTAGAAAGATGCGTCCAGACGCGTCTCTTTTCTTAGTCTCTAGAAAGATGCGTCCAGACGCGTCTTATTCAGTCGCAAAAAGTTTGTCGCGCCTAGATGCGTCTAAATAAGACGCGTCTCTTTTCATTCTGTTTGAAAGAGACATCCATACGCGTTCGGTTGTGCATCGAAAACTCCTATTCATGCTGATATACAAGTGTTTCTTTTCTTTCTCGCTGTGTTCAGTTCACATCGTTCGACTACAAGGATTAGGATGTTTATCCGCAGCGATTCATTAAGGACGTTTCGCTATTTGAGGGAGTTCAATTGACGAAAAAGACTTCTATCTTCTCGAATTAAAAGTCTATCAGAGTAGCAATCCCTCCCTAATTCTGCTTGCATCATTTCATTGACGAAACTGTTTGTTCTATATTTTATAACACAAATAATATAACAAAAATTCAAAAGAAAAAAACACGTTTACTTCTAGAAAAGTTCTATATCTTCATTTTGAACGTTAGCTGGTTGTTATGACTGTTACAATAAACAACAATTTCAGCAGATAGTAGAGTAAGAAGCAGAAAGAGAGAGAAAAAGAGGAAAAACGGGGTAAAAAGAGCTTCTTTCGACTTTTAATGTGCTGCTCAATTCAAATTTTTCACAGATTGAGAAGATTTCTGATTAATTGCAGTAAAATAAATTGCTAGCGCTTTCTAGAGAGAAATAAACAGTGTTTATCAGGTAAGAACAAAAAAGCAGAGCAGCAGCATCTGAACACCTGAAACTGAAAATTTAAAAGTAGGCAGGCTCCTTTCACTTCGATGGTACAGCGGTAAGAAAAAAAACGCTAGATAAGTGGAATTCTCTTGAAAATTGATCGACAGTCTGCTTCAAATGCTTTTCATCTAAAACAGAATGAACTTGAAGTGCCGAAATAAACATCGACAAGGTAATCTCAAACACTTTCCTTCATCGTTCTTTATTACCTCACACACGATGGCGCTAGCTGCTTGAACACATTTTACTCTGATGCCCTTTCTGAATGATCTGGCAGTCTCGAATTGGTTTAGAAGTAAAGAAAGTATGTGCAAATAAAGAACTTTTAAATTCCAAGTAGTACATCTAATGAAATATTTAGAATATGCATAATACTGACAAAAAAAGAGTCGCAGAAGTACCAGTTTTAAAGAGAAGTTTCTGAGAGACACATTTTTTCTCGAAATTTCAGGCATTGTCTTTCTTTCATGTCAGCAGTTAAGCTCTTCTCTCCTCCTCTTCGTTTCTAGTAACTGGGTATAAGACCCTGAACTTCGGTATAGGAATTTTAGTTGAACAAAAACAAACCTTTTTGCACAAAAGAATTAATTTTAAAAAAGCGCATTTAGGCGCGTCTAGATAAAACGCGGTCAAACGCATCAACATCAGACGCGTCTAGATGAAACGCGTTTAGACGCGCCAGGACAGAGAATAACCCTGCATAAAATCGCGTTTAGACGCGTCTAAATAAAACGCGTTCAAACGCGTCACTATATGACGCGTCTAGATAGCGTCAAATGGTGCATATTTGCAGCGATTAAACGCAGAAAAAAACGCGTTTTCAGACGCGTTTCCGACTCGAAAATATTTACATGGGAAGCTCGTTCGATGCTCTACAAAATTTGCTCTAAGGGTATGTCATTTGGAGAACGACTTTCGCAGGAAATTAGAACTTTAGCAAGAGCACTTCGAATTTAGGGTCTTTTTATGTAACAGCGTTACGCGATGACAAAACCTTTCTCGAAGCTCCAGACTTCAACCAAAAACTTCGGTTTTATTGCATACATAGAGTATGATGAGCTGCGTCGAATGGCGTTTGAACGAACTTTCAAGCTCTCAAACTTTCCGAGATAATTGAGAAAAAGTGTGTCAGAAACGTAACAGCGTTACGTTTGGACAAGCCGATTAATTTGGTGTGGTCAAAACACAGTTTCCAAGAAAACAAAATTTGAACGCTTGGAGACTGAAGGATCTGTCTTTCAAGTTTTGGACTAAAAAAGTAATAAGAGCCCAAATGACTATCATATTCGAAATCAGCATCATCATTACTTATAATCAGCAATATTTCGGGCAAAAATGATTCTTCGTCAGATAAAAATCTTGTAAGAAACTCATAAGATTCTTATCACAACTGATAACTATCTTCGTCTAAGGCAAAGTGCATCTTTAAGTTTGATTTTTACTTTTATCTTTTTACATATTTTATTTATCTTTTTAAATGAACCTAGTGACTGATTTATTTATTTAGATATTTTTAAGATAATATTTAGTTAATAAAGCTAGTAGCACCAAGATCTAGGTAGATCCATCCCTGTTTCGCTGTAGTGCTAGAGTGTCTTTGTAGAAGATACTGAAGTAGATAAGTTCGAATTCCGAGTAGTTTTCGAATGAACTAACTGGTATTCTACACAAACAAATGTAATTAATTAGTGAAGAACAATATTTTTAACAATTAGCAGAGCTAAACAAATGTAATATTTGTTATGCAAAACTGAACTAAAGTGCAAACGTTGAAGAAATGAGCTGATAGGATATTAACGGGTTAATAAAACGTTCTATGTCTCTGTAACGAAATGTTTTTATAATTCATTAATAATATTTAGTGTATAATTTTGCAAAATAAAAATTCCACCATATTATTGTTCACTTAAAATCTTCATAAATCTGCTTATATTACAACCGAATAACACTTTATTTTATTATGTACAGTTACACATAGACACTGTGTCCTTTGGCGTATACAATATCCTTAATAGAGATTCACATATCATAAAGCACATCGTCTATTGAGAATCACTTAATTATCGTTAGTGGGCCTATGATTCAACTCATAAATAAAATACGAGGGTTCTTAATTGAGATCACTTTTTTGATAAAATGTGTAACCTCAAAATTCGTAACATCAACAAAACATCACAGGGCAGGAAGCGTAAAATGAGAGTGAGTGAAAAATAGTGATCTCAATTAAGAATGTGTTATAAAATAATAAGTATGCTGGAAAAAAGCATCATTTACGATATAACTCCCGAACTATCGCTCGGATAAAATTTCGTCAGCAGAAAGAAAACTATAACAAACATAAAGTTCCAAGGAACTATATTGATCGGACGAAGCGTTGATACAGAAGTGTCTGTGACAATGTTTGTATCTTGTGCGTTTTTAAATTATCGGCTGGCTTCCCAACGGTCCTTTCAGAAAAAAAGAGGAAAGAAGAAGGACGTTACAAATTTTTTAAGAGAGCGTAGAGTAAAAAAAAGGAAAAAAGGAGGTATTTTTTGGCCGAAAAACGGTACTGACTATGTTGTGTACACGTCAAAGCGGCTTAAGACTCTTAAAGAAGAGATTTCATCCTACTTAATGTATTTTTTCCATGTTTCACAAGTTCAAAACTAAGAAAAACACAACAAAAAGGAGTTATTCTAGTTTAATACAGAAACATATCTGACTGTTCAAATAGCATCGCTAACGGATGTGATATTTTCTTTCAACTGTCTGATTTTTTCATCGTGTTTATCTTTCTCATATGTTGTACTATCGACTGCCATCCTTTGTTCCCACACTCTAATTCGCCAGTTATACACAATGCACATACGAATGTTGATTCCTTAGCATCTTGCTTTAACAATCGTCTCGCAGGGACTTCATCTGCTGTTTTCTGTAACCACGAATGATTGAGTTTTGATTCATATGACGGCATTGATAAAAAAATACATCTGAAACTACTTTCAGATCTAAAAATAGCGTAAATTCTGATGTTTTTGCTAAAAATCTCAGAGAAAGAGGAAAAAGAGCTCAAAAACAGGAGAAAGAGGAGAGGTCTGTGATTAAAGAGGAAAAAGAGGATCATTCGAAACCGACAATTTGTCGGTTTTACTAAAAGCTTAATCTGGCCTCAAGCTATAGCTAAAGCCATAGCTGCGAGACAGGGTAATTCACGTGAGATGTGATTGTGCATAAGAGTTATATTCTTCTGTTGTATATTTGTTATGAGTGCATTTGGATATGGCCATGAATTTTCAACATTTTTTCATTGAAGATTGCGGTCGCGGTCAACAATGTCCTTGTTCTTTGTATCACGTACTCCATAAAGTAACATTTTTTGAACAATTTGAGGTTGATTTGGTTTTATCAGCCTACACTTTCTCAGGAGTTGTATTCTTTCGCCACTCAGTTTCATCGTCTTCAAAGTAGTCTAACCCTTTTCCTTTTGGTTCTGGTATCAACATTGTTGTGAAAATACCCAAAAACTGAATAGCCGCAAATATTCCGAGAGTTTGTGGTAAAAATGCATTCGTACCACCTACATTAATTAGAACATTGAAAGCAAACGCAGCTAAAATTGCACCAGCCTTCCCTGCAGCAGCTGAAATTCCGTGAGCTGTCGCACGAAATCTTGTAGGGAAAACCTCGGCAGGAATAATGAATGTTGTAGTATTCGCACCAAATTGGAAAAAAAACTGAACGAGAACGAACAGGACGACGAATGCAGGTAATGCATGTTCCTTGAGAGGATAATAAGCAGCAGCTATTATCGTGAAAAGAATGGTTTCTATAATAAATCCCATATATTGAATTGTTCTACGACCCATCTTGTCAACAAGAAATACTGTAAAATAATAGCCTGGTATCGATCCTAACAAGGTGATAATAAGATTTCCGATCGCTTGTTTCCATAGTGTTTCCCAAGGCGGTGCGTTCGTGGGTGCAAAACCGATCGCCGATAAAACCACTGATTGATTCAACGATAGACCATAAAAAGCAATATCAAGTAAAAACCATGATAACGATGTGCCAAGAAGAACTTTGAGATGTTTCCATTTTGAAAAATATTGACCAAAATCGCGCAAATGATGACGTTTGTCAATCGTTTGTTTTTGTTTGTCTAGTTTATTAATGTCTTCTTGATCCGGAGCTTCTACCACGGCTACCGCATTTTCTTTTTCATTTTGTTGCCCTAAACTGTTATCGTTTTTCATTCTCATATATTTAATTCCTCTTTCCATTTTGGCGTCATCTCTGAGAACATTTTTAGCAAAACGAGGAGACTCCGGTAAGACGAAACGGTAGTAGATAGTACATACTGCTGGCAACACACCCATAGCAAGCAAAATTCGCCAGACATAATCAATATTCATTTGATCAGCTTCAATTGCATATTTAAATATGGCTAATAGAATGATATCGACAAGTGCACCAAAGAACTGCCCCCAACCTTGCATAGAAAATGTCAAAGCAACCATTTGACCTCGACGGCCGGCTGATGACCATTCCGATGAGACTGTAGCCGACATGGGATAATCTCCTCCTATTCCAATTCCTAAGAGTAGACGCCAAAATCCGAGAAAGCCAAGTGTTCCAATCCCCCTGGCAGCTGCTCCCGACATCGCTGAGGCGATTGTAGCAATGATGATAACGAGTAATTCTAAGCCATATATTCTATGCCGTCCAATAGAATCACCAAGTATTCCAAATAGAAGTTGACCAATTAGATTTCCAACATTTGTTATCCCTTTGATAGCACCTTGAATATTTGATGGAACTTTATTATTATTGTGAGAATAATACACGTAACCTAACATTGGCACTGCAAGGTTGATGACAAATATATCATAGGCATCCATGAAGAAGCCCGTTGATGATATTAAAACAGTTCGAACTTGACGAAATGTTAATTTTGAATTTTGTGTATTATCAAAAGTACCTAAACCATTAGTCGTTTTACTATTGGTGGTGACGGTGTTGTTCGCATCATTAGTAACGCCTATTTCTTCTTCTGGTTCAAAATCCTGCTGTTGTACTACATCATTAGTTGGTAACATTTTTTGTTTATTGAATTAGTATGACCTGTAATTGACATACAGTGAAATATAATGCGTTACAAAGAGTATTTATATATATATATATATAAATAATAGAGGAAGACTAGTAAGAAAAAGGTGTAGATGAAAAATGTTTTGATTATATAATGTCTGTTTTCTCGCTACTGCTAATAGAGTGTGAAGCTATTTAAAAAAAAAAATTTATTTTTATTTCTTAAGAAAAAACAACTTGACTTGAAAATCCGGAAAGAGTTTTCGGATTTTGGAGGTTGTTGGTTGCCTAGAAAACCAATAAAGGCTTAATTGAAAAATCGGCGCCGATCAGTCGATGTAGTTAGGTGTCTACGTTAAAATAAAACAAACCTGAACTCTCCAGCTTGAAGTATATTAAAAAATCTTGGGACGCCGTTCAGGGTCCTTTTGGGATCTTGATCTCTGGAAAACTCCTAAACCGTAAGACTTGGAGACGAAACAATTTTTTCATTCGCGTAACTCATTGTACCGAATATTTATGGAAAGTTTCGTCAAGATCGGATGTACGGTGTCGGAGATAATTTCTGAGGGGGGGCCCTTAAGAGCAATCAATGTAACATATTATTACATCTATATAAAAGGATGAATGATATACCGATGGCACGATCAATACATGAAGCGACCGCATGTTCATGACTTATACTATGTTTCATGCCCTTAAGATACCTGATAAAAATCCTGCTTTTCTGTACAAAAAAATCAAAATAGAAAAAAAAAATAATAACTTGCCTTGAATACCTGAGTGATTTTCGTATATATAGACTACGTCACAAGATACAGTGGGGTAAAAATTGGTATTTCTGTATTGTTGTAGTATCACATAATTGTCAATTTGTTAATAAAGTAAACTTTCTTGTTTTCGCAGAATACTTTAGCGGTGCAAAACAAAAAATATGCAAAATACGATAATTACAATAGTTGAAAATTTGTTATATTATTAGAGACATCCATGGTAGCACGTATGCACTGGATTCAACTTACAATCATAATGGTTACTTTCTTAAAAGGTTTACCACTTGAGATTGTTTGACAAAGAATTGATAGTATTCTGTTATTGCTAGAATAATACATATGCACAAGTAAATGGTAACCAGTGCCACTAATATGTACAGTTTCCACGCTTGCTTTATTGTGTTATCCAATTCGTACGGATTTTCAACATTGGTTAATGCATCGATATTAACCCAGAATTTCAAACGACCGGAACTCATAATTTCTATAGGTTTACTTCGTTGGTTAAATTTAAATGCATGTTTATTATACTGAAGACATTGCACATCTAGTATATGAAGTTGATACTTGGTTAAAGAGCTTTTGTTCGGATAATAATCCTCCAGTAATGATTTTTCCATAGCATGTCGCTTTTCACGAGAAATAATATTTTCGGAACTTTTTCTTAATAATAATTCATAGCGTACAGTAAAATAAACAACATAGGCCATACACAAGTGGAGGACAAAATAAAGTAGGTTTAAGGGGATAGACGACAAAGACATTAAGACAGATTTTTTCCGTTGTATTTCTTTTATCAGCATATATAAAAGTGATTCGAACAAAATCTGGTTGTATCAGAAAGATATTGCCGCCAGTCTCGAGCTTTTTCGAGAGAAACATAACTAACAAAATCGATATTAACACATTCAAAAATTATTGTCTTCATTGGTATTCATATATGCTAGCCTAAACTGTTGTCTCTTTTGAGATTCTGTATTACTGTGTGGGTCCATATGGAATATATCACCATTATTTCAACTTTGGACACCTCAATAAAACATATCCTGGCAGGATATCTTTCTTTTGGCAGTGCCCCTTACTAAAAATGGAAAACCTTCTGGATTATCGGGTGTGTTGAATACGAAAAAGCACTTTTTCACGTTTCTAATGAACTTTATTTTTCTGTCTGTGATATGGTACAATAATCTGTACAGACGTTGCTGTAGAGATGAGCAAGTACTTTTCTCGAGTCCTTTAGTATCTGAGATTTTTAATGCGGTGCGAAGCAGAAAACCGCATTCTAGCAATCAGTGGGATGTTGTATTAATACGCTTTTTTGTGTCATTTTCTCATGCTGTTCGTTCAAGATCTGAAAAGTGTGTAAGAAAAATAGAAAAACGAGAATATGGAGCGGACTTTGAATATGGGAATATTCTATTTTGTGGTTCTGTGGGACATTTAGTTTCTTGTCTAGAGCACCTAAAAGATGGTCGATTGACGTCTTGCGACATAGAAATTTTACAGCAGGAAGAGATAATTGGTGTAATGAGTGTACACGCGTCATGTAGGACGAAGAGAAAACCTTTTCAAGTTGGCTTATAGCCAGTAAGCTCGTTCTCTGTAATTGATATTGTGAACCATCAGTGTTTTTTACCTCTCGTTGCACTGCTGTGTTATGGATAACTAACGCAGTGTTGTGAGAGTATAATTGCGATGTAATTATAGCAGTTAGTCCATAGTTTCTACGCTGTAAGGTTGGAAATTATTTATGGAAAATGCTCTGCGAATATCAAAGAGTACCTATAGGAATTCCTCGAGGATTTTCTAGTTTATGGAAAATCGAATATCCAACAAACTAGAAAATCATCGTTAAATTTCCATAAATTATTTCCAAGACTCTAGAAATTTCTCTATGAATTTTCAGTTTGTTAGAAAATCGTCGGTGAATTTCCATAAATAATTCCCAAGAAAGTAGAAGTTCAATTGCAAAACAAAAAGGTGAATAAGTATTTGATCTAGAAATTCCTGGGCGAATTTCCACTTTCTAGAAAATCCCTAAGGATTTTCTAGTTTACAGAAAATCAAAATCGAATTTCCAGATTTTTGGAAATTATTTACAGAAATTCGATTGATTTTCTATAAACTGACAATTACTCCAAGATTGCAGTGTACTCACGTCGTCATTAATGGTGTCAATATTTTTCAATAACTAAGTTATATTTAGCTTTTTGCTTCCTGCTCACTCTGAGATTTAACTCTATACTATTCAAACATTGGTAAATGTGACCGCTCCCACTCTACTGTACACTATTTATTCTTTTACATCCGCCACCACCTGTGAAATATGGAAGAATGAGACTTCTCTTTAAAAAAAAGCGCAGACTAGCCAGATCAAGATCTTACACGATCTTATAAAATCTTACGAAAAATCATAGAAACGGATCCATCTTATAAAATCTTGTAAGATCGTACAGCAAGATTCTGTGACCTGAGTAGAAAATCCTAAAAAAAGAGTTTGTGAGAGCCCAAGGTTTTATATGTATTTTATGAACTCTCTTAAACTGTCAGAAGTTCCTTTCGATGACATTCTCCAGAACCCTTTTGAAAGAGTTTCGAAGTGCTAAAAACCAAAAGCGCAATCGAAAATCACTAAAAAACCGAAAAAAACGTTTAACGCTCTTAAAGCCTTCAGGAAGGGTTTTGAAGAATAACATTACACTTTGCCATTAAGAGTTATAGAAAGTTCATCAAACCCTTCGGCTATATAAACCCTTTTTTAAGGATTCTCTAGTGTATACGCTATCTTTTACAGAGTTTTAACTTGAAACGAATGCAATGCAAGAAACCAGCATTGCAAAATTTCAGAGGTCTACCGAGACAAAAGTTAGATATAAATGTTTACCATAGTGTAAAACATTTTCAAGCCAAAATATAGCATTGTAAGAAATCTAGTTTGGATTATATTAGTTGCACGACCTCGCTTCTTACGTCAGCTATGGCTCCTAAACTTCTTGAGATATAATTTATATTCTCCTTATATTGGATGCACGCATGAAAAAAAGTTTTGAGCAATCATAAATTTGTTAGTATATTCTTGTATCGGTTGTTTGTTGTATACAACCAACTTCTGCTGTGACAGATACACAAAACTGATATTTTGAAGGTAATGGAAGCATTAGTAATTACCATACAGTAGCGACCTCCCTCCAGTATAAGACGGTAACTCGGCAAGTGTCCGATAATTTTTCTTTGGCCAATCGGAGCTGTGAAATCTTTCCAAGCTGAAAATAGATCTATCCTTAGTTGACAATCGTAATTGTCGGAAGAAAAATTATCGGAAACTTGTGCGACCGACAGAATGCGCCTGCGAACTGAGTTTGATCTGACAGAATCTTGATTTCAGGTCAATCTTATCAGATTCTGACCCTGTACAATCAATAATAAGATTCAGATTAGAATAACCTGATCTGAAAAATTTTTCAAGATTCATGGTCACTGATTCGTGGTAAGAAATCAAGATCAGTTCATTCTGGTCTGAATAAGGAGATTGTTTGAAAAACACTGATATCTCAGTAACGGCTTCTGGCTGGAGAACTCTGAATATACATTATAAAAAGTCTTGATATCGGCTATAATATGTACTAGAATAAGTCCCGCAAAAATGAGTCTCTTTTTTAATTTCAAGTGTATTGGTGATTGTACGAGCCATGGTCGTATGACTACACACCATCAGGTTCTGACTGAAAATCTGAAAAAAATGCATTTCTCAGGAAGAAAGTACTGAAATCAAGATTCCGTCAGAAATGATCTCAAGATTGTCGACTTGTGTAGTGTAGACAGGACCTATAGAGACTAACATCTTTCTCAACATTGCATTCCTGTATCATTCTGTCGCCTTTTTTTTAATGAAAAAATAAAAATAAATCACTAGTAAAAGTTCATTTTTATATTAACTTACAGACTTTGAAAACTGTATCACAGTATTTATTCTAAGAAGTGAACTCCCAGTGTTCGTATGAAAGTTAATATAGCATTTTATGGTAGCACACGTGCTGCATAAAGATTCTATTCTGAATACGCTACTGTACTTATTCTCTATCATATTTTATTTTGAAAAGGTTGAATAGAAATGAATGAGCTTAGTACCATTTCGTTTGAAGAGGTCGATGATAGTTGTGTGAGAAATATAAATGTAAGTTTGATCGTACAATATTCTAATATGAAGTTAGTGTCATTTTTCTATAGTTGTTAAAAATCACCTATGTACAATTGATTGATATTTATGCTCCAAAATTTCGACATTTTTTGTTACGTTTATTTGATAGTATTGAATATATTGTCGAACGAGAATTGAATGACTTCAAAAAACTTGATTTTAAATATCGGTAAGTTATTTTGTAGAAGGCTTTTTACGTCAGCTATGGCTCCTAAACTTCTTGAGATATAATTTATATTCTCCTTATATTGGATGCACGCATGAAAAAAAGTTTTGAGCAATCATAAATTTGTTAGTATATTCTTGTATCGGTAAATATATTCATTCCGTTTTATTTAACTAGGTCAATGGTTCGTCAATGTCAAATATACGCTAAGCGGCATAGTGAATTAAAACAAGTATGATCACATAAAATTTTACTTATTTTCACGGTCATGTTCTATAACTACATGATATAGATGTTGGATAATGAACAAAAAAATGTTGTTTTACTACAATCAAAGATTATGTATGCAGGATTAAACTAACGGTTAAGAACGGAAAGAATCACAATGCATTATGTTTGCTTTCCATTTTTGTACTTCAGATTATTGAGACATAAACTAGATGATGATAAAATTATGGGAAGAACTGAAACAGTATGCTATTCTAAATAAAATTAATCTAATTCGACCAATTCAGTTTTCTGTAGAGTGAAGAAGCAGCATCACTAACCAAGATGTCGTCATCATTATCGTATCCATCCATTTCAAAAAGTATCGACAACTTTGATACTGGGTATATAGTTCAAAAAATGTACAATTTTTATTTTAAAGTATGAACTCTCCATTTTCTTCAAGCAACGTGTTATATCAACATCAATATAATAACAATATATATGATAATGTTGAGATAAAAAATGATGAACAACATGGAGGTATAACAAAATATGTTACTCATTTTTCACTATTTGTGAATAATAAGACGTTCATTTTATTAGAAGATCGGTCACTTTTACTATTGTCTAAAAACTTCGCAAGATCAATCGATAAATTGAATTATGGACGAGTGAAACCCCAACATAGTATTAAATTATTTGATAGAATGACAAAACAGTTAACAAAAATGACGTTATATGATCATATGACAAATGAGAAGACAGATTTATAAGTTGATCACTATGTGATAAGTAATTTGTATTTCTTAATTTATATGTAAAATAGATATATTCTTTGTTACAGAATGATAATAAAATTTGTTTCAATTTGTTTTAGATTAAATAATAGAAAACGGGCCTACCGTTTTTTCATTAAATATAATCTATTAAAAATATAATAGACATGTGGAGTTATTTAAACACATAGAAAAGAAACCAGCTTATACTATCCGTTTCTCTATCTCGTCCATCTTATTTCTTTTCATCCATCCTACCTTAACACGCTTGTTTCTGCAAGCCATTCTTTCGTACTTCTATAATTGATGAAGAAGTCATTCATCTTGTTTTGTTCTGCGTTGGCCACTCCTGTATAAAAAAACGATGTTCTTTTTGAAAAATCTTGTCAAATTATTTTGATTTCTTACTAAAACCATTGATATGGTCACTATCTGAGATGCTTTTACCTGTCCTCCGGCAGGAGTATCTTTCAACTGCTAATCATAAAAATAAGATGTAAATTATTTCTTGCACGTTATTCCCTTGACTTTAGTCTAGTATCTTACAAAATGACTGTTTGTGTATCTGTTTCAGACAGATACACAAAAAAATTAAAAAAGTTTTAGAGTCTCAAATTTTTTTAACCACGAGAGTGAAAATATTCAAAGAGATGACTTGAAATATCTACTGATGCAGAGGGAAAACAAGCTACGCAAATGTTTTCTGTAGTCCGGAGAAAGATATCACCAGAAATCAGCCAACTGTCATAATACAATAAAATCATAGCGAATCGATCAGAAATACTTCCGACCCTGTTGGGATCTTCAAAGGGTGTCCAGAAAACGTTTTAGCTTTATATTATATTGAACGCTTTTTCTGTGGAACCGGAGAAGTTCACAACATTTCTCAGCTATTCTGGCGGAAAATGCCTACCGAAGGAGGGCGTGAGCATTTTCTTGAATTTAAAAGATATTTCTGGACCTCTGCAGATCCTTGAAGGTTCTCGGAAAAACCTTTTAGATTTACATTAGGTTAAGAACCTTACACATCAAATCAGAGAAAAATTTACAACATACTTATTTTAGATATTCCCTTAGCGAACGTCGATCGAAGGGCGGCGTGAGCGTTGTCACAGATTCAAAAGTCATGAAAGGTCATTTGCAGATAGGTGCCCAAATCCAATTTTTCGAAATCAGGAGTTGAATAGGAGGTTTTTTATAAAAAATCAGGATTTTTTTCGAAATCAAGAGGGTATCAGGCAGTTTTTTCTTAGACAAGCAAAACAAAAAGAAAATCCAATAATTGTAATATTTATTGACGAAGTAGTATTATCATTTGTTACAGACTGGAGAACGGATTGAGGAAGAAGATTTTGATCGGGTTGATTCGGTTTTGGAAAAAACAAGCCGCAGCAGCGCTGCGTTCATTAAGTACTGCGACAGTTTTTTTTCTGCTGCGCTTTTTTATTAGTCCAAAATGTCGCTATCGATGCAGGAAAACAATTGAGAATCAAGATAAAATCTTAAAAATCAGAAGTATCTTGGTCAAATCAAGAGATTTGGCAACGTTGTTCGCAGATATAAGTTCCTAAAGTGAAGGGACAGAATGACTGCAGTCGAGCGCAGAGGTGGGCGATGGACAAGGATCCTCGCGAGGCCCCGCGATTCCTCACGGGGCGGTCCTCGCAAGGGAGATTTTTTGAAAGCTGGACGAGGCAGGAACTGTACGAGGCGAGCCCCGCGGGGGACATTTTTTTCTTTTTAACGAAAGGCGAAATGGAGACGCTGAGTGGAATTCTTTCTAGTTCACTTGAAAAATATGTTTGTTTAGTACATGACATCTACCACACATACAGCAGTTTCCTCAAGTTGAAGATAAAACTCTAACACTTGTATATTGTAAAGGTTATTTCTAACTTTGTTTATCTTTTCTTCTATCTTCCTGTTATGTGCCCTGTACATATATAATAGGTGTGTTACACAGAAAGTTGGTCTAGGCTATCTCCGAACCCCGGAATCCCATGGAGCTGTCCTTTGGTTTATAAGAGCCTGTCTGCGTGAGAAGAGAAACAAGATCAATGTGATCTATAGCAGTTGAGTACATGAAGGCGGCTATCTTTCGTATAGCAGCCAATATCATCGCTAGTGCTAGAATATCTTATTTCGATTGTTTTTGATCTTTAGAAGGTCGAAAAAGTCCAGTACTAAAGTTTAACATTCAAAAATAGTGAAATTAAAGTGAAAGTAAAAAGAGTTTTGTAGAGATCCCCCGAAGAATCATGATCACCTGGCATTGGAATCTTGCCAAACCCTTACTAACTAAGTTTCTATATCTTTTGTGAGCTGAGCTGTTTTTATTTTAAAAAACGTTGAATTTTTTAAATTTTAAATTCAATTCAAAAACTGAAATTCTTAGTTGCAGACTTGACTTTTTTTCAAAATGTTCGCCTTTCGACGCTGAACCCAAATATGTTATTAAAAATGTTCCATGTCTTAACAGTAATTTTTAAAACCCTTTTTAAGAAGTACAAGTAGCCCAAACCATGGTTTTCTAGAAGTCCTACTTTCGCATTTCGGAGAAAACTTTCTAGAGAAGAAAAGAAAGAGCACGTTGAGAAACTCTTATAAACCATAGGACAGCTCCATAGGATTCTGGGGTTCGGAGATAGCCTAGACCAACTTTCTGGTGTAACACGCCTATTTTATTAATAGTTGACGATGGACGAGGCGGTGACGGGGCAGAAAGCTTACGGGGCGATCCCCGCGAAGTAGATTTCTCGAAACTTGACAGGAAGTCTGCGAGGCGATCCTCGCGAGGAAGCTAAAGATAGTCCATCGCCCACCTCTGGTCGAGTGTCACCTTGTACATTTTAGACTATGTTTTCCTCCTCCACTGTCTATGGTCGGGGAACATATTCTCCATCAATGAATGTGCATAGTCCCGGTTCTTAGACGATTGGTAAATGAATTTCGACTAAATTCGGAATTTTTCTTTCAGATATCATGTAGGTAAAATAAAAAACGATGCATACATAAATGTAAACCTCATTTAATTGTGAACTGTTGGGTGTTTGTCAGCGGACGAAAAGTTAATACTTATACATCATCTCCACGTTAGAAAGATACCATATTAATGTCTAGTAATTTCTTTCAGTTGTTTTTTATTTATTGATTTTTAAAATATGTTTATCTGTTGTTGTTTCCCAGTTAATGTGACGATATAGTTATAAATTGTCGACAACATTGTAATCCACGACGCCAGTTGTCCATCGAACATACTTAATTGATTTAAAATAAGGATGAACGGCTAACGGAGTATCTTGGATTTTAGATTTTTTTTTTGCGTACTCGAGTATGCGATACGACGATATGAAAATGAGGAAGGAAGAATAATCTGTTTTGCAGCTGTTGTTACCGTTATAAGACGCTGACAGACCTCTGAGATTATTTAGTCTCTTGTAATCCTATAAGACTAGCAATCTCTGAAGATGGTCCTCCACCACTTTACTATTCATTAAGTATGATGTTTGTTTCTTTTGGATTATATAGAATTTTAACAATGAGCTCAATCGTTGAGAAAAGTATTTTTGAAGTGACTTACAATTATTGTTAAAATTTTCTGTATCTCTAATATCAAAAGAGAATATTCCATTGTTTGGCAAATGTCGTTACTGTGTTTAATTAGAAAAATTTGGGCACTAATACATACGGGGAACTCGCCGGCATCTATGTGGACGGGTTTGTAATGAAAATACTTGAAACCTTTTTACTAAGAGTCAAATACAGTCACGCTATGTCTCATTTTGAGCAGAAAAGTTTACTCTGGCAGTCTATCCGCAAGAAAAAAATTAATTGCATAAATATTCAGGTGAGAACTATTACCGTATTTGAAGGTATTGAAAACGATACCAACTCTAACTTAAAATATCCTGCGGATCGATCGTTTTTCTTACTATTCGGCTTGTCCACGTAACTCGAGACTTCGCTGATCAAGTTTTTGAAAAAATTATTTTAAAGTAGAACTGATAGGAGCATATCACTAGATGCAGTTTTCGACGCTGATTACGAATCTCACATTAGTTTTTGAAAACTTTAAATTTTGGTACTAAAAACCCAGTTTTACATTTTTTAAAAACTGTATTTTCAATTTCCTCACCTAGACACTTTTCCTAATAAAAATGGAAGGCCACACTAATCGATAGAGAATTCGATTCTCTAC